AGACTTCAGATACTCTAGAAGCTATGCATTCTTTTTCAGACTCTACACAGTGATTACAACAATAGATATTTGACAAGTGTATATCACTTCTAAGAACTGAGTAGACAAATGATACAGAGTAGTGGTTGTACAACACCGATGCCCAGATAGATCACTGACTGAGCAAGTGCAGACTGCTTTCCACACAGTTTGTTTGTTTATTTTGAAGCAAAGCCACATTGGACTATCTGTTGTGTCCACTGTGGGGAATTGAACCCCGGTTTTAAGCATTATAAATCCGTAGACTTATCGCTGTTCCACCAAGGTACTTCCAGACAGAAAACATTGTGGTTCATGTATAGTTTTATTCATTGCAACATATTGTGAAAATGTGTTAGTGGCACATCATAGAATATCACTCGTACATAACATTCTTTTCAAAGTGCACACATACACACAAACCACAGTTTTCTGCCCCAATATGACTAGCTCTAGATAGTTTTGTTATAGATATGCAGTTAAACCTTTCACTAGCAGAACTAGTGGAATTTGCACAATAGATCTGTCACTAAGATACCAATATCTAAACCCAGATCAGAGGAAACATGAGCAATTGTCAAGACAAAGTTATTGATGTGCCACTTCATTTATCTCTGACTTGAAATAATTTGTCATAATAAAGATTGTGTTAACCAGCCAAAGTGGTGGTTTTCCAAGACAAGATAAAGAAAGGTTCTGGTTGCTCTAATATCCACTAAAAACTGAGAATTATGTCCATGTATCACTATCAACACACACCACATGACACCAAGTCCTTGGTTCTACAAACCAGACACTGTTAGTGTCTGTTAGTTTAACCTAGTCAATGCTACATCAGCAGTTGCTTGTCATGAACTTTTCTGCATCTCTTGTGTTGCTGGTCTGATAGGTATATATTGTTGGTCTTGTTCAGTAATAGGATATGAACAGTTCTACAACTTGTGTTCAAGTGGCATGCCACATGTAAAGGAAACACTCCTTCCCTTCAAGCCAATGACACTTTTGTATGTGCAATTACAACTGCATTTGTGGTAAACCCATGGCGACTGGGCAATGAAAACAATGATGACCCATTAAGAACCACAACTGTTGTACCATGATGTCTTACAGCATGTGATACAGTGAAATTGATAAAGAAACAGATAATTTCTTTTCCGAGTCTTAAGCACCATTACAGAACTTGAAGACTGCCTTAGAATTGGGTCTACAGGTGCTAATGCTGCGGGTTTCTTTCGTTGCTTCAGCACATGGTTTGATATGCCAAACTCAAACCATGTTTTCCCTAATACTCCATGGAAGACAAGATGTTTCTCAGACCTATGTAGTGTTGTGTGGGTTTTGCTTTGTTAATCCCTCTATAAACTTGTCACTAAATATCTCATTATGATTTATAGATTAACACTTCCTTGGCATACAATCGCTTAAATTGTTCACGAAAGCTGGCAATTTTTTATGAGGCTCCCATTTTCGAGTTATGAGCTGAGGCCTTTAGGATTGTTCTGTTTTCCGAAAGGTCGCACAACCCTTGACAATCGTGTCGCAGTTGTCCCTATTTCTTCGTCTAAGTGCTCTAAAGTATTAAGTATGGAATAATATATATTCAACATCTGGCATAGCATTGCTTGTGTCTGAGGCCATGAATTTCAAGCAAAGACTTGCTCGAAACATTTAAAAAAATCTTGCTTATTAAGAGATACACGCTAAATTAACGAATATTGTGAAGTTTTTAAACAGTTATTTGTGTGATAATATATTCATTTTTGTACAACGTTTCATCTCTAACAGTAAAACATGATCAAATACTCTAAACGTTGTATGGGATCATATCTCACTGTTAGAGATAAAACGTTGTACAGAAATAAATCTATTATCCCACAAATTTATAAACTTCATATTTGAAGAAACTGTCTCACATCACCTCCATAATTAAATGATAGTTTAGAAAGGGATTGCTATACAACTGAGAGGATGTGCACTTTCACTGGAAGTCCTTGTCTTCTTCCAAATGTCGGGAAATGCATAAATATTCACGTATGTGACATCCTCAAAGTAACATCATAATGAGATGACTTCGTGCCTGTTAAAATTTACAATCCTTGCTCTTATTATGACAAAGCGTATTATACAACCCTTCATCATTACATCCCACATTGTTCTTGACCATCAGCCACAGAATTGGACCATCTTCAGCATGCCTTGCTGGCCTTAAAACTCCTTACTGAATCCTAATCCTGCTGGAGCATAGTAATATGCAACCTGCTCCAATCGATGGTGTTGCATTGAAACATACCAAACTGCACCCAGCATGTGCATCTCAAGACCATTCTCAGCCATGGGTGACTCAATCCATGTGTACCATAAATATGTTTAAGTCATTCAATCTTCTCGACACCATCATTACCTATCACTGCAGCCCTGTGTCCCAGATCATGATAATTTATCATTTATGGTTGTGTCGTAGGTGCCAGGGATAATCCAGTGAAGCATCTATCAACCTCAAGGTCCTGATAACGGATTGAAAAGGTGGACATTGCTCTCAAAAAACATTCTAGATCTAAGCGAGTGCTTCTCACAGTACTTGCCGTATTCTTGAATTGGGTTCTTACTTTAGTCATAACCTCGTATTCTGCTTCAGTAATTTTTAAGTGGTGTTAGACAGTGCACTTCAATGATTTATTAATTTGTAGTGCCATTGAGTCAAACAGAAAAAGAAGCACAGTCAAAATAAATGCAGATTCAGGACTGGTTATCCAGAGAATAAATTGAACATGGCCGAACTAATAATCTATCAAAGTAACAGGCTTCTCGTTTATAGATTGGCTATACTGGTTGCTGGGGTGGATAGAGGCTTCCCAGACATGTCCTCGCGAGACTAGGACAACAAGAATCACGATATGGCATGATTCAAATCAAAGAGTTCTATTGCTTAATATTCCAAAACTACACGTGTCGCCAAATATTCCAAATAACACATACAAGAGGAAAGTCCTCAACGGAAATGATATTGATATGTTACATTAAAATAACATATACTTCGGTAAAATATCTCATTATAACCAAAATCTAAGGTCTATTTCTGTTTGTGAAACTTAGTCGTGTAAGAAGATTTTCAATTTTAATACACTTGGAACCTATAGTAACAATAATAATATGATAAAGATATCACATAAATAAAATGCTTAGACTTACTGTAACATATTAACACAGGAGTCGGTTATTTGAGAATTAATGATGTTTCATTTTAATTAATTGTTGATTCTTCTCATTTTCCTCATTTTGTCTTGTGGCTCAATAGTAAGTTTGAGAGATTATAACACTAAAATTCTTAGTGCGATCCATACGGTGAGTACAGTACATATAGATCATTCATATCTTTGAACAAAACAGATATAAGCTTTATATATATATATATATACCTCCATATGTGTGTTTTATATACTAAATTGGATTAAAGTGAAACAAATACGGGGATCAATATATGGTCTGTTTGAGACTTCTGCAGGAAATAAGCAAGACCTCGAGAAATGCCAAAAAATCACACAATCATATATTCAAAAATACATAAATATAAAAATACTAATCGAGATCTGAAATGAATGTACAATGATGATATTAGGTATAAAACATTCGCCTGAAATCTGTGGATCATAAATGATCAATACAGTATGTATTTATAAACGTTAGTTTAAATGTCTTCCGACCTAGGCCTAACTAAGTAATGTTACAGATAGAACACTTTACATGCGTACAAACATACAGTATGGTCCATAATTATGTTCTAAAAAGAAAATAAAGCAATTGTTTTTCTTTTTTCCAAATGAGCCAGGTTAAAAACAGGAATACGCTGCGAAACCAGCTAAGATACATAGAAAATATCAGTCAACGCATTTAATATTTGAATACTTTCATTCATGAAATTAGTTAAATTTGAAAATAAATACATGCTGTAGTATATAATTGCCCTAGGTTGTAATCACGCAAAAGTCTGTACAAATATATGTGACATGTTGGTACTAAACAAGTAAACATCTAAGGCAAACACTTTTAAATAACCAAATATTTGCCTTCTCGAGTATTGTTTCGTAAGAGATAAATATTGTACTAACACTTTACGAAAGTACTTGAACTTTCTCAACATGTGACAAAAGTGCTGCATCCTCGAAAGAAATGGATGGCTAATCAATACTGTGATTGCTAATGAATACTGTGATGGCTAATCAATACTGTGATGGCTAATAAATACTGTGATGGCTAATCAATACTGTGATGGCTAATCAATACTGTGATGGCTAATCAATACTGTGATGGCTAATCAATATTGTGATGGCTAATCAATACTGTGATTGCTAATAAATACTGTGATGGCTAATCAATACTGTGATGGCTAATCAATACTGTGATGGCTAATAAATACTGTGATGGCTAATCAATACTGTGATGGCTAATCAATATTGTGATACCTCGGTTGATATTACGAATAATCAGTTTTGTTTTTGTAAAAATTACAAACATTTAAGCTAAAAAATTTTTATCTTTGGTTTTTGAATTGCATCCTCTTGTTAATACGAATAATAAAAACATGACGCACAAACTATGAAACCTATTGACTTTTGTTTCTCGGTACAATAAAAAGGTGTTTCATTTGCAAGTTATAATTTTCATTCATTTTGTTCAGGGTAGATTTTTATAACTACTGAATGTGTTTTTCGTTAATATTAAATGAGGCGTTGATTTATCGACTCCGTTACAAGCAAAATCATTACATTAATCGCCTGTAGAAAATATTAAAACTTCAACATTTTTTTCTTATGTTTCACCACAGGCAAAACTTTAAAAATGTCGTGGAAGAAAGACAAATGAAGTATAAACATTTCTATGCAGAAAATACATTATTTATGGGGAGTGAAGTCGATGCGCCTTGAAATTATTCATGGGGAATAAATGTTCCCTGAATTGAACTGTATTCAAGCAGTATCACTTACCAAATGGTTGCTCGTTATTTGCTGGTCTTTGTTTGAGCCATATTGAAGTAGTCTTAGACCACAGAAGACAAAAACATAAAATAGTATTTCCCAACTCCGTGAAGCTACTTGTTAAAACCATAATAGTTTGATTAAGTAGCCAACAGTCAGAATCTGAAAAAAATTGTAAATATACATTCAACTGATATATGTAGTTCAATCAAAATGATGTTCACGAAATTAGGTTGGGTAGCATCATGCACAAACACGTCCACGGATCACAAGAGCATGCTTAATACACACTCAGACACACACTTGACTACAAGTGGTAGAAAGCAGAGCCAGTTTCAGCATACAGCTTCACCACACGACTTCCCCGCTTGTTCTGGTGAGATACAAACCTGTATCTTAACTTCCATTGATTACTCTCAGTCGACGTCAGATGGCAGCAGCAATAAACTGAAGTGAAACAAAACTGCGTAAGCGCATATATATATATACACGTGTATTTACAAATAGATGCAACTGTATGCTTTGAATGAAGAACGCCCAAAACGAGAAAAATTCTAACAGTCTTAGGCCATCCTATCATTCTTGTCATTTGCTTACGTTAATAAGAAAAACAGACTGCAAACGTAAAAGCCCCTTATCAACATACTTTTAAAGATCATTTCTGAAAATATTTTATTCAAATTAATTCTTATGAATTTATTTTACAAATATAATTTATTTTTCTATTATAAACCATGATGAAAAAGAATAAAAATGTTTATGTTAATTAATATGTTCTTGCAATTTATAAGTATAATAAAGTATACAGTTTATTCTATAGATAGAGAAGTACGCTGTTTTTCACGAAAGGCTTGATAATGTATTACCAAGTTTTTAGAGGCCACAGAGAGTACTTCATAATAATATGAATCTTACTGGTCTCTAGGTAACATTCACACTGTTGTCTATCACGTAAAGATTATTGTGATACTTAACATCACTTTAGAGATTTTTAGTTTCTAACCTCGACCACTTCTGTAATTAAAAAGTCAAATTTATTTACATTTATAGAGTATTAAATATAGTTGATACTGAAATATGAAATCTTGTCACAACTTTTCACATGGAATATCTTTGCCAGTCCAAACTTTGATTTCTACACGTTTGTCATGCAGCGTTTCAATTCTGGGAGCTCTGACACTTTACTAATATTGGGTTCTCTTCTTCTTCATGGGGTTTTAATCCATATTGTGGACCAGAAGGGGTCAGGTTCAGTAAAGTTGTGTATAACATGACTTCCTGAAGTTGGATATGTTTTATACTAGTGTGACATTTTCTGATTGGTTGTGTTGATACTTAACTGTACTTTAGTGCAGTACATCTTCGCATGAAACCCTTTTTCTTCATCGTTTCCATAATTATTTCTAATGCTGTATATACAAGCTTTTTCGCATCTTCTTTATGTACAACAGATATCAACCAAAATGGTATGTATGAGATTTAATCTACCTATACAAGAAGTACTTTTTAATAATGGTCACTCTTCTGTTTTCGAAAATAAAAAAATAATATATTTAACTTCCCGTTTTAGAGCGTTTATTCAATTTAACCTGTTTATCTCCTCTCTGTCTTTGTTTTTCGTTATTAGGATATATTTCGGCATCGTTTGGATTTCTGGTATGACTAGTTTCGTTCTTGAAACATTCGACGACTTTTCTAACCAAATTTAAACTGTTGCTTTAAGTTCTTTATTTTTTTTTACAAACATAAAATCGTTCAGTTCCAAGCAGTTTACGTAAGCCGTCATTACTAAATATTTGTGATAAAATATCACTTTTCTGCAAAATTCCGCATTTACTCATCCGTTAAGAGTAAGGTTATTTGGGTAAATTTTTTTATCGGTGGTACTTTTCACTTTTCAGAACAATTTGTTTAGTTTTCTAAAGGAATTTGATGTTTTAGCTTGACCTATATCTTACTATCTTACTTCAGCATTCATCGTGGTTTATGAAATATATATAGAGCAAGCTAGATTAAAATACGTTCTGTTTGATATAATGGAACGCAACAACTGAATATCAGTAAATAAATAAATAAACTTTACCTTTATCATTCAGTCAAGAAGTCTAACAACAGCTCATTATTAAAGTAAAATTGTCATATTTATTAGAGGAGCTATTTAAATTATCATTTTATTCTAGTGTCTCTGTATTCCCTAAGTAAAGTATACTATATTATTTGTTTATTGTTACTTTATTTTTAATTTAATTTTTTTATTATTATACTCTTATTATAGAGATTGCTTTGCATTGTTAGCTTAATATATGTGTTTTGGACTAACTTAAATGTTCTAAGCTGGCCAACCGTCATGAGATATTATTGGGATTACGGCCACAAATATCATCAAGAGCGAAAGTGCTCAACTGATGAAACAATGCATTCTAGTATTTATAAGAATAAACTAAGAAAACTATATTTAATTAACTATATTGGTTGTCAGGTTGATTTTTGGTTTCTCTCTCTGTACATAGCTTGCTCTGGTCGGATATTAATATTAATTGTATTTTATATTATAATATTAATTATACAAAACTTTAGTTTCGGTGTGATGAATTTGAAGTTACTGTCTTTCAAGACTAGCTTGACGTTATTCATGATACTTACTCATAATTTAATGTTTCTTAGAGATGTTAAAATAGTTAAGAAATTTCATGTATCGTTTGTTTCCTATATTAACTGAGGAACAAACCGCTATCTTTTTCAAGACAGTTTAAAACATTTCAGTTTATTAGAAACACTAAGTGGTTACAAATAGAAACTTATAATTAAAATTCTTATACCTTGAAATTTACCTGTTCTAGGGGAAATAAGTTTCATTAGGGGCAGATTGAGAATCATAAACTTTATTCAAGAAAGTTTGGAAATGGAAAAGGGTCTTCCAAAAATGGACATATTTTTTGTTCAATATAATTTCCGTTATCAAACCTACCACTACATGAAGCTACAGCAAGTATAATCATTTTTGGATAGTGTTTATTGATCTTCGCTTTTAACTGGAGGTTAGATATGAGGGGTTGTCTTTTCTTTTTGAAAAGTAGTTTCTCATTTCTTTGTATGTAGAATGAGAACCAGAACTCGAGCGCTTTCGAATAGTTCAGTATTCTTCTTCAGGAGAAGAAAGGGTTATGTTTAATGAATGTAATGAAATATATAGGTTCGGATGTCGATGTCACGTAAACTCTAGCATATTTTATTGTGACTGAACATATACTAAATTCTTGGAAGCAAGTGATTCACCACCAAAACAGTGTCGATGAAGTGGTTCTAACTGTGATTGAGGTGAGAGACATATCATCACTGATCAATCATACACGTATTGAATTTAAGCTTGTCATGTGGACGTTCGACTTGGCTCAGTATTTAACAAATGTTTTCTGAACATTTATTGGGTTATAAAGAGTGTAATACTATTTGTGGATATTTGCCTATCAAACAGATGTCATTGACATTAATAAAAATAGTTGTATCTTGAATATCAAAACTCTGAATGTTCCTTACTTTATTTGGCCAGTGTGTGATTTCGTATTTTCAAGGGGTTTCATAACATTTGTTTGTCGTAATTTTCTTTAATTTACGTTTCTCAATAGTCAGCATAGCTCTGTTCTTAATCACATATGTAAGTTTAACTGTACTCTCAGATTTTAGAACTACTTAACATTTATTTATAATTCTCTTGTTTAAAATTCCTCAGTTCCTTATATAATTTTCTATCCTACATTTCTCAGTAAATTATCTAATTCCCTATTCTGCACTTATTAATGAGATATGAAAACCTATTCCACCACTCTAAGCATTAATTTTAATTATTAGCTAACACTTCGCTCCTAGTGGCTCTGTGGTAAGTCTGACGGCATATAACGCTAAAAACCTAGTTTCGATACCCGTGGTTGGCAGAATATAAATAGCTCATTGTATAGCTTTATGCTTAACAACAAAAACTAAAACTTTACAGACAGTTGTGAAACTCCATTTCAGTCTACTTAGCAATTATAATTCTTATCTAACATTTCTTAGAGAGTTGAGAAACCCTGTCTCTATCTACACCTTAATGACAATTTTAGCTGATACTTGATAGAAAGTTGGAAACCTTATCTCACTCTACTTAATAATTATAATTCATGGCTAATACTTCTTAAAGAGTTGTGAAACCCTACTTCACACTACTCAATAATTATAATTTTTAGCTAATACTTCTTAGAGAGTTGTGAAACCCTACCTCACACTACTCAATAATTATAATTTTTAAGAGGTCGGAAACTTTATCTCACGCTCCGCAGTAATTATAATTATTAGCTAACACTTCTCAAAGAGTTTCAAACCCTATCTCATTGTACTCATTAATTATAATTCTAAAGTAATATTTTCAAACAGTTATATGCCCATGTGTTTTGGTGGAATTTAATAATGGAAGTTGTAAGTTAAGGAAATACAGTTTTGACCTGATCTAAAGGCTCACTTAAACACCTCATAACCTTATAATCACGAAGAGAGAAAGGATGATAATGAGGCTACGTGGTGAAGAAATATATTGACTGTGTTCCTTTTTATCTAGTTTGTTTATTGCCCATTAACTCTTTAAAACGGTGGATGTTTCTGTGTGAAAAGTTTTCCATACGGGATCTTGAATGAGTTTGTCTCTGGTTGATGCCAAACGAAAATCTGATATTTCCAAAAATCAAGCGGATTAGTTTAGGATGGCAACTTGTAAGAGATAAAATACAGTGACATAATAATAATCTGGTTACCCATCAGCTAAAAACATTCCTCTATCAAGCTTCATGTTCAAACTGTTTGTTTTTGGTTTACCATTTTTTATTTTTTTTTACATTCATATTATTTAGTTATGAAAACCATTTTTTTAGATCTGTTTCTAATTCAACAACATATTTGGTGTTAAACGGTTCAATGTGAGCTGAGTAACAATATATATATATATATATATTACTTCATTTATGTTTATTTTTAAAGAGTGGCATTTAAATTAGCACAGATAAGCTCAAGATATAAAACGAGAAGTGAAATCCATAGAATAATTTCGTTGATAATTG